TCTTACCAGGAAAATTTCTGGCGAAGTGTCAGACGAGGAAAAGCGCATAAATCTGCTGATTTTCACTGCTTTCACATTCGATGTAAATGCACCAAAAGAAGCAGAGCGGTTAGAGTTGAAGTCATGTGACTCTGAGCTGCAAGTCAGTCATTGAACTTTTTCTCCATTTCCTGCAGAAATCCAAACTGATGACTATGCAGGTAGGTTTCACTTAGTCCTCTTGGTGTGCTAGTGGGCTTGGTTCTGGTTGTGGAGCTTAATGTGTGACTATTCTGGAAATGCCAAGAGTGATTGATCTTTGGGAGGATGTTTTGGTGGTCTTTAGGGCTTCTCTAAGCTCCTGGAGGTTTTCTGTGGTCTGGGCGAATCCTCTGGGCTTTGTGGGTTTCTGTGTTTCCTGGTGGTCAAATGAGACGTCTGTGAACCTTCTACCCTATTGACACTCAACTGGAATTTCCTTCTGACCTCCCGCTATGTCTCTAAGAAAATTATAGCATGATGAGCAGGTCTGGTAAAGTGTTGTACATGTGTGTGGTTGTCCAATTAGAGAAGTGTGAAGCAAAATATCAGACTGGACCCTGCAGAGCTTCCATACCGCGCTGGTTCTACAACAAAGAGACCGGAAACTGTCAGACTTTCATCTTTGGTGGCTGCAGAGGAAACAAGAACAATTACCCAGACGAGGACAGCTGCAAGTCCGCCTGTGTAGGTGAGGTACCAGGTCTAGTTCTACCTGGATATTACAGGGTGCAGCTGAGGCTGGAAGTAATTTCCCATCGTCATTTTCTGTATGTAGGAATCTCTGTACTGCCTTCCTCCAAGAAGGTCCCAGAAGATAAAGAAGCTTCTGCAGGTGAGAGCGTTAGCTGGGCATCCTGATGGCTGTGGTGGTTTTGATCAGATCCAGGGACACAGTGGTTTATTTTTGTGTCTCTGTGTCAGAGCGCTGCTCTTTGAGTCCTGAGGGTGGACTCTGCCGGGCCTACTTCCCAAAGTTCTACTATGACCCAGACACAGCCTCCTGCCAGAGTTTCGTGTACGGCGGTTGTGGAGGGAATGCCAACAACTTCAACACCATAGAGGAGTGCATGGCTGCTTGCTCCGGAGCAGGTAACTACACGCTTTTTATCACTGACACCCTGATCTGCTAGCCTGACTGGTTTAAGCTTCTACAGCAGTACCACAGGAGTACAGTCTGAATCTTTTAGGTTTTGTATCTAAACTACTACCTACTAAATGTTTTACCTGGGTTGAGAAATGTCTCTCAGGATTTCCTTTTCCTTCTCTTGTAGGTGTGTTCGATAGTCGTGGTAAAACCAAAAGCCGATGGACCGCAGGTGATTTCCTCTGGGTTCTTCCATTGTGTTGATTCTGACATTTCAAAATTTCTCTCCAAAGATGCTGGCACAGCCACCTCCACAATCAGCTCTATCTGTTTAGGAACTGCTGCGGTCAATCAAGAGGCGATAGATTTAATAATCTTAATGGGACTGTCCTGAGTTTAGATGAAGTTCAGCTTGTAATTATTTTTTTTTACCTGTAAATATGGGCTCAACTTCTTCGCAAAACTAATTAGTTATTGAGAGCGGAACCAGGTACCTGTGATGGATCAATACCTTTTGCTTGGCCAAGTAAATACCGGTAACTAAAAATGCAACCCCCCTCCCAGCTAGTTTACAGAAGAATCTGGTAGTTATCTACACATCCAGAAGGGTCTGTAAGCACAGATCGGCGCTTTAAAAAAAAACTTCCAAAGCATCATTAAAGTTAGGCTAAATAAGGGCCTCCTGCAAGTTATTTCAGCAAACTTGTCATGAAGAGTTAGAAGGAATAAAGAGATCTCAATTGAACTGTAAGGTAGTGTTTAAGGGGCTGAGTCCACCCCCTTAAACAGAGAGGGTGGACTTGGGTTCCAGCTTTCAAAAACCTACATTGCAGCAATTGAGTTAATCCATTCCTGCCATCATCACAGCCCCTGTACAGGAGAGCAGAGGACCTCACCTATTCAGCGAGGCCGACAATTCCCTCTAATGACCCTTTTTTCAGATACTTGGATGGGGCTGGGGTATTGCAGTCTAACAAAAGAAGCCAAACATCCTCGTTCCAAAGGGGTGGACCCCTTCGTCTGTTCTGATTTGCATGTTTTCGAAACAAAAAACAAGCTTTCTGGATGGGAAGCGAAACATCTTAAAACTTGGAAACAAAGTCCAGTAAATTGTTTTTAACGTTCTTTTTTTGGAACAACCATGACCTGGATGACTGAGAATCTTCACCAGCGCATAAGTCTACCTGTCTGAATATGATAAACTCTTCATGATGACTAACTTTTAAGTATTGAATCCGTACGCTGCATCACAAGGTACTAAAATGTTTGTGATTGAGAAGATCTGGTATCGGGACATTCCTGATTTAAATTGTTCTGTTAGTTGGGTAGGAAATGTGGAAGGATATACTGGTGTCATCAGCATATAGATGTATATGAATGTTAGATTTGGCCTTTTGTTCTTCTGTCATTTTAGATATTAAAATGTACAGGAAGAATTTTTAATACATGTGGAAAACACTCAGCTTTTGAGAGGCTTTAGCTCACTTTATTTTTCTTATTATTTTAATCAGTCCTGATACTGTGTCATTTAAGACTTACAGTGTAAAACTGTAGCAGCTGACTGGATCTGAAAATGGGCTCTACCTGGTTACTGAAAGTGATGCAGTTAGAGGTACTGACAGGTTTACATATCTGAATATCTTGAATTCAGAATTATTTTACAGATGGAAAAGAAAAAGTCAATATAATTCTGGAGTTATGGGTCTATAATGACCCCAAAGTTTATCAGTAAAGAACTTCCTGTGAGGTGTGTTTTAAAACAAAAAACAGAAATCTGATCATCTTCTTCTCTCTCTTGAAGCTGCCTTCCTCTTTGTCACTCTGGCTGCCATCTCTGCTCTGCTGCTTGCCACGCTGGTCGTCATCACGCTGAGACGCCGCCGTCTGTCCCGTAGTTACTCCACCATTAGGTAAGCTTAGAGTGCAGCATTGCCCCCTGTGGGATGGTGTTTGCATCACTCAAACGGTCACCTGTTTACACTGTCTAACTAAAACTCTTTCTGTCTTTGTCTCCTAGTGACAAGCAGGGGCTTATCCCCGACAGGGATGAGCTGTCATCTCAGGACTCGATGAGCATTCCTGAGAGCCCCAGACCAGAACCAAAGGCCTAGGTGCTCTGAATCCACTGGGGCTCTGCCTCAAAACTGATATCTCATTTCTTACTGGGATTTATTATGGTGACAAAGATCTGGTCAAAAATTGAATCAATCATTCCTTAAATGGTTAATTAAAGCCTGAATGGGCTGATCTTCAGTTCTGAGGCAGATCCCAGGGCATCAATAAAATATTTTCTCCTTTTTGCAGCATCAGAGCCCTGTCTGATTTTGTCACTGATCACCACCAATTAATCACCTCATTGAAGCAGCCATTTAATTTGTAGACACACTTCACCATCAAAGCTCACCCCAAATTACATCTGGTCCTCTCCTGATAACTAATTGGACCCTGAGAGACGGTTACCACCATGAACCCCTAAATATTGATGAATTTTCTGAAAAGAATCAATCCTGTGCTAAAACCACACAGTCTAGAGTTTTAGTTGTTTTTTGTTTTTTTCTGTTTCCAGACTTGATCAGTTCCTGGTTTCCTGTCAGAAACAAAGTCATTGATAATTTTTATTGATCATCTGTTGGGAAAGAATCAGACGGTTCTGCTGTGCTTCTTTATCCACATGATCAAGGTCCTGATCGATCATTAGTCCCTTTCAAATAGAAACATTTAAATTTCCTGCCTGCTGATCTTTAACGTCTCCAATTCCTCTCCATCTTACCCATTAATCTAGTTCTCATATGGAGCTCTGTGTTTCCGAGGAAATTGGAATGTTTTTCTGCTGGTTAAATCTTTGAACAAGTCCAGATTCAGAAAGATCCGACATCTGCCTGAAAGTCCAGAAACAGCCAGAGCTTATTGAGAGATGATCAGAACTTAATAGATAAGGAGATTCCTCATCCAGACAAAACCATACAGAACCTGCAGAGAGCTTGGTTACTGACGGATCAGTTTAGCCATAACTGGTTCGCTTTTGTGGTTCTGCTCAAAGTTCAGAGCAGAGCCTTTGATTGGCTGCGAGTAGAGAAACTGTTTCTTTAAGCTTGATGTGATTAATCGGTGAGCTGATTAGATGACGGATCAGAGCTCAGGTGGTTTTAATTAAATGGTCAAACTATTGTTTATTCTGTGATTAAAGTAATTAATGAAGGAATCGTCTGGATCACTTATTGCTTTCAGTTATGGATTTATTGATCAGTTATAAGTGGGGATGCAATCTATTTTAATAGACGTCTGATTCTGTTTTCTCAGTCGTTAATCATTTTATTAATCATTTCTATATAAGTTGTGTGAGTGTGTATATTTTGGTTATTATTGGATGTGTTTATTGATGGACCCAGAAGAAATACTGCTACTACTTTCTTACTGTTACTTTTAAGCACAAGTTCCCATGATGCACCTGTACAGACCTGTTTCCCTGCAATCTGAGGTCTGAACAGCATTAGTTTTGTTGATTTATTGTGAGCCCTTACAGCCTGCTGTTTAATCCATTTATCGATGGAAGTTATATTTCCTTAGAGGTATTGGTTTTACTGTGATCAGTGATCTGATCTATAATCTATCTGAAAAGGGTCACGCTGGGGTTTCTGGATGTGTTCTTTGACTCTAAGACCTATAACATGTTTTATCCATATCAGGTTATTAATTAGGTAATCAATGTTTGCTTTTAATTACACTGTTGTGGTCTTTATTTTTAACTATAAGCTGATCATTTTACACAGAAACAATAAATTGAGTTGAACCAATTCTGTCTGAATGTGTTTATTTCCACGGTCTGCTTAGTAAATGATCAGCTGACGGGTTAAACAACGCTTCGAACCACATTAATGCAACTGTCATTGCAAAGTAATTTGCATACAGTGAGGATAAACTTTGTGGTCAAGAGGAACAGAAAAAGCCAGTATTGTCCTTATCTTATTTTATCTTATTTCTTGCTATCTTATTTTTCTCTCTTCTGTAAACTGTTTCACAGCAAGTTATGTTGCAGTGCAAGGTATGTTTTACTGCTACTGAAAGACCATCCTAGTTCTCTATTCCCTGTAGTAATCTACCAAGGTCAAATGTGGCTGTGCCAAGTCTCGGCCATGCAGGTTATGACAACTACAAAACGGATATAAATCTGAGGCAACCCAATTAATGCCAAGTTTTCCAGAACTGACAAAGTCCGGAACACTTTCAGTTCTGCAACCTATGGTTGATGTATATAAACACCCAGAGGCCAATCCCCTTAAGCACATCCCTCGCACAGTAATGTCAAAGGAACACTCCAAGCATGTGGTTATCAGGCCTGGGCGTTTATTAAGTTGGTTCAAAACAACTAACAGGAAGAACAACATTGCATCGAACACAGAGGAGAAAACAGAGACACAAAAACATTGCAATTCCATATTTGTCAGGGGTTTCCAGAAACTGAGGGGTTTTTTTTCTAAACACAAAATACCAATACATTTCAAACCATTGTAGCTTTAAACAGAAGTGTTAAGACAGCTGTCCTTAAAGGTCCAGAGATCCAGAGCATCATCAGTTTCTATGGAACATGTCTATCAATGTTAGGCTGGGGAAGTTTTCATTCTGAAGGTATAGAAAGGACCAGGCTGCACATGATAGAAATTAGCCAATGAGCTGTGTCAGCCTGGGTTGCTGCTGCTGCTAGAGAAGATGATTAGAAAAAGTGAAAGTGTGGACTGCTGGAAGAACTGTGGTGAACTGGTGACAGAAAAGTGAAATGGTGCTCAAAGATGACCCTGCACATTTAGAGTATATTTGGCTCAACCTGCTGCTGTGAAGCAAGATTCTCCACCATGAACAGAATCAAATATTAATCTGGATCCAGGCTGAAAATGAGGTCCTTGATATGTGCTTTAGAATGGCTTTGACTCCATTCAAACCAGGTTTAAAGCCTTGCAGGGCAGCATAAAGCCCACTGCGAACATTAAGCCATAAAAAAGAAAAAAACAAAGACAAACGGTCAGTTCAGGCGTTTTATAAAATATGTGAATCAGGAAATTGTATAACAAACTGAAAGATTGTTGTTCTTTACTTAAAAAAAAACAAAAACTTTTTTTTAAATATTTTTTTATTTAAAAATTAGATGAATAACATGGATGCATTAAAAACCCAATTTTATTTCAGTGTTAAATTCTGTTTAAAGTAACAGATTATAATTAAAAATGTCTCCGGACCTTTACTGGTTGATGATTTTCTTTATTTGGACCGGATTATTAATAATCAGGTATTTATCTGGAGCATCTCAGCAAAGAACCAGCTGAGCTAATGAAAATATGCAACCTCCTTCTGATTCTGCTGTCTCTATAGAAAGATATTCTGATTGTTTTTAAAGGTGCAGAAATAACTAAAGCGAAGTGAACCCAAGGAAATGCACAACAGTACAGAATATACAGGGATAAGTTATAGACACATGTTTTTAAAGTTATATTGGGTAGATCAGTTTAGATTACTAATTAAGCTGAAACAAAAACAGGAACAAATAATCTACATATTTTGTTTTTTATTTTATTTCTTTAACCAGAAAATTTAATATAGCTTTGAGATCAATTTTGATCAATTTTGTGTTCTTGAACTCAGTTAAATCTTGTTACACTCACATTTTTTCTGCCAACAGCAAGTAATCAGGGATTTAAGGAAGAGGATTAGGGCCACTGAAAAAATAAAAACAAGTTTACTGATTTTTTTCAATTTTATTTCAGTATGATATGAGAAAAAGGTCAGAATTCTGACTTTAATCTCAGAATTCTGACGTTTTTCTCATAATTCTGACTATAATATCTGAATTCTGACAGCTAACAAACAAGTTAGCAGCAAGCCATAGCCATGTCTCTTTTAAAGACTAAACTAGCTCTCTTGTTTTAATCACCTTCTGCTCTTCCATTAATGAAAAAGTATCACCAGGGAACCCCTCGGACACATAAAAAAAGTTGCCTAATTCCTTCATTTTCCACCAATGTGTTACTGGTCCACCCAAACAGCTCACATCTTTGTCAGTGAAGCTGAGCGCACCCACATCTCTTCCTCCATAGTGCCCATCTACGTTAAGATCAAGAATTCTGAGATTAAAGTCAGAATTCTGAGATCAAAGTCAGAATTCTAAGAAAAAAGTCAGAATTCTCAGATTTAAGTCAGCATTCTGAGAAAAAAGTCAGAATTCTGAGATTAAAGACAGAATTTTGAGATTAAAGTCAGAATTCTGAGATCAAAGTAAGCATTCTGAAAAAAAAGTCAGAATTCTGAGATGAAAGTCAGAATTCTGAGATCAAAGTCAGCATTCTGAGAAAAAAGTCAGAATTCTGAGATTAAAGTCAGAATTCTGAGATTAAAGACATAATTTTGAGATTAAAGTCAGAATTCTGAGATTAAAGACATAATTCTGAGATTAAAGTCAGAATTCTGAAATCAAACTCAGAATTCTAAGAAAAAAGTCAGAATTCTGAGAAAAAGTCAGAATTCTGAGATCAAAGTCAGAATTCTAAGAAAAAAGTCAGAATTCTCAGATTAAAGTCAGCATTCTGGTAAAAAGGTCAGAATTCTGAGATTAAAGTAAGAATTTTGAGATTAAAGTCAGAATTTTGAGATTAAAGTCAGAATTTTGAGATTAAAGTCAGAATTTTGAGATTAAAGTCAGAATTTTGAGATTAAAGTCAGAATTCTGAGATGAAAGTCAGAATTTTTAGATTAAACTCAGAATTCTGAGATCAAAGTCAGAATATGAAGAAAAAAGTCAGAATTCTGAGATTAAAGTCAGCATTCTGAAATTAAAGTCAAAATTTGTGAGAGAAAAAAAGTCTGAATTCTGACTTTTTTTCTCATATTATACTGAAATTAAATATAAAAATCAGTTAACTTTCTTTTGTTTTTTTCAGTGGCCCTTATCCTCTTCCGTAGGGATTGATCCATTTGATAATTGTCAAGAGTAAAATTTCACATTTAATTAGTGACATGATTACAGTAATTCATTGTGAATACATAGTCTGCGTATGCTGGATAAACTAAATCAAAGTGGTGAAAGAACACAGCCTTGAGGATTTCTTTTTTAGGGTAAAAGAAATTCACCCTGACGCTTTTCTGACGCAATCACGCTGCGCCTCTCCCGGAAGTATCGCTGAGAGCCAAAATGGCGCAGAAACGCCAGTTGTTGGTTTTGGATTTGTTTCGGGACATTAACGTAACCCGTTTACACCCAGAACCTTGATCGGCCCGCTGGGACGTGACCGGGGAGATCCCAGCCAAACCAGCTGCCCACCCGGAGGCGCGTGCAGGCCGTGAGTGTCGTGACTCCTCGGTTTGAGGCGCGCAGAGCTCTGCAGCTAGCATGCTGCTAACGTGTTGAGTCACTGTGATTCACCGGAAATATACGGTGATTTAACAGGGAACCTATTAGGAATTAGCTCCCAACCGACCTACAGAACCTTTGTTATTTCTGTTTGAGCGCAACGAACCGGTTCGGTTCACCAGCTGAGTGTGTGCAAATGTTTAAAGACGCTGTTTGCTTGTAGGCTGCTTCTGGTTCCGGTTCTGGTTTGTTTTCCTCTGGTCAGTTGATTTCCACCTGATCAAACACATGTTCTTTATTTGTCAAAAATGGTTGTAGGAATTTAATAAGCGCAGAACCTAACGGCCTCCGTAGTTTCCAGTAAGGACATGGCTCGAAACGCTTGATTTGTATAAACGGATTTGGTTTATTGTGTTTATATAAAAACCGGTTCCCAGCCACGTTTTTATAACCCTTATCGCTACTGGTTAGGCCCTGCTGGACCATGTTTATCCAGTTAATGATCTGGATCTGTTACCATGGCAGCAGCCTCCAGTACCGTTATAAAGCAGCTCATACAAGAAAAGGTGGGTGTGGACAGAGAGAAAACCCAGACTGAGACTTATGTGAGAGGGAGATGGACTTCTACAGAACCAGGAGCTAAGGTTATAGCGTTTCATTAGAAGGGTTCTGTACTTTTAGCAGATCATACAATCCATCATCCTCTCTGCAGGGATCAATACATATTTATTTAGAAAAAAGAAAGCGAAACCAGCTTTGAAGCACCTGTCAGAACAAAAACTGATTTACGGTGATGGAATAGGATGGGATTAAACCAGACAGGGCGGTGTTTAAAATGAAATCAGCTGCAGCATAAGCCTGGAGTTCTGCTGCCATTTTAGTACCATGTTCTGTTACACAGCGTTTTTTCAAGACGACAAAACAGATTAAAATGATCTTCTCAGATGCATCTCATTTGTTTTAGTTCTGCTCGCATCTGCAGGTTTAGGTGGACTATCTGGTCTTAGGTTTTTGTTCCGATGCTTAGATTTGTCTCAAGAGAGCCTTGATTTTTCTGTCCACTCCCACCGCCGTCTTCTTGGCGGAGCTCATCCTCCTGGCTGTCCTTGTGCGTCCTTCTTTCTGACCGATTGGTATGGGTGTTCCAGGTGGTGATGGCGGAGCGGCGGGCCGAATGCACCTGGAAGAGACACATTTTGGAGCAACTGAAGCTCAGAGACAGAGTTCAGAGACACACTTTCGAGGAGATCGTCCACCAGTGTGAGTTGGGAGACTCTGTGGACGCGCTGTTGAGGCTCTGATAGAGGTAGTAATCGGAGCTCTTTGTGTTTCAGACAATCGCCTTTTGGAAAAATCTGACCTGCAGACTGTCCTCACAGAAAGATACCAGACGGACAAATATGACGTCCAGAGAGGTCATGAGGCCAGGTGAGACATCCTGGGGCTGAGTCTTAGCTT